GAGATAATCTGGAGATATATAGGAGAGGTCAGCATGTAACTGCCTAAGCAGTGCTGCTGAATGTTACTTGTTAACAGGATGAAGAAAAGTAGGAAAAGCCAGAAATGAGTGACATGAAATGGTTTATCCTATTTTGCGTATGATTTGATGAATATTACCAGTCATCTAGATGTTCCTCCTTTTATTGCAAATTTTTCTTTTATGTTTTTCTGAAAGAAAATTTGCTAAGCAATTAGTAATATAAAGATTTTAGAAAGAATGATTGCATTATGGGAGGGGGAGACCATTGAAGACCATAAAAGCATGAAGGGACCACAGTTTAGTTTTGCATGAACCTAGGTTCAATTTGTGTCTCACCATACATATAATGGTATGGAGTAAAGCCTTTATAAAACAGTCAGCCAATAACTTGAGTGTTCATTCTCATCACCAAGCAATTCCATAGTACTTTAGAGGTAGTCATTTACTATTGTTATCACTAATAAAAATAAAGTTTTAAAGTTAATGAAAGCAGGTTTACTACCTTCTACTATTATTGGCTAGGATTTACTAATTGTATATCAGAAATCATAGTGTTTTACATTCAGCCAACCAGGATACAAGGAGGAAAACTAAGAAAATGTTTGGTCATGACCAGTGTGTATTTTTACAATCAAGAATTAAGATATTTTAGGATGACAGCATGTGATGTAAATCTTTTATGCTCTTAACAGTGGCAATTACCACATCTTAAAAAAGTTGGAAAGGGAATGCAGGAGGCAGGTGGAAGAAGTGTGTATACTTAGATGGCTTTATCTTTAATAGGAATTTATGGAATATCATTTAAAGCTGACAACTCAAGTCACAGTATCCATACCAAACAAAAGGGAATTTGGGCAGAATATTATATAATTAATCATATGAATAGGGCTTAGAGCTAAGAAGCAAAATTATACCCATTATCATAGCTATTGAAAAGGTTTTTATAAATAAATAAATGAATAATATGAAAGTTTGATTAAGAATGGAATATTTACCTAGTTAATTTCAAAGAACCTCCCCACAAAATATTAATTACAAAAAGGAAAAGAGTAAATTTCAGTGTAGAGCCGTAGCAGGCTCCACTTTAGTCAAGTAATGGAGGTTGATATCCTCAGGAATGGGACCAGTTGAAATTGTAAGAGCACAGGGGAAATAGTTCATTTCTTTGAAATTTCCTCAGGACTGATAATAGTTTTGTAAAATCATAATAGTTGCAAAGAAAATGGAGGAGCCCACTAAAGACATCTTCTGCCGTGGGACTGGAAAAGAGTGTTTTCATTGCCTCTCATTTCAAGCAAAATGAAGGTTTTTTCCCTCTTCGTATGGTTAGAATAAAACGCAAACTTCTGATGAGGTCCTTGAGAGTATACATCTTCTTCGATTTGTAATTGTCAAGATTATGAACTTGAGCACTGTGTTCAGTACAAAGCAAAATTAAGCAAAGCAAAATTACTGAGACAGCCATTTCCTAACTCATTGTTTCCTAATCTTGACAGACCATCACAGTTGCTGGGACCTTTTGTTAAAAATATGAATGTTCAGACCCCACATCAGATCCTTTTGAACCAAAAACCAGAGGAAGAGCCCTGTTTTAAGAATTTATTTAAAATGCACACAACAGTAGGTATTGCTGCCTCTGAAAGGTGATGGAGCTTTCGGGGTGTATCATTAGTGGAGCCGAGGTCATGTGCTCATGCCCAACTTGGAAGGGAGGGAGGGAAAGCAAGTTTTTGTCATTTTCAGCTTCTAAAGAGGGAAGTAGGCCCTACCTCATGATAACATAGGGAATCTCAAAAACAACTCAGAAGAGGGCAGCAAAATAGAGTATCAGATAAATAATTCACTGATAGGCCTGTGTCTCTGGGGCTTTGCATTCAAATTTACATTGGAAACCCAATCTATGCTAATCAGAAATCGCCTCTGTTGTAAAGTCCAGGTTTACAAATATGCTTTCCTTACTACCTCCCTCTCTGCAGAAAGCGGAGCGGTCAAGTTTACTGACTGCTCCCCCATTTCTCCTTGGTTGCTCTCGTTTTTAGTGTTTCTTTTTGCCTTATCACCTCATTCCTGTACTCAGGTGGAATAGGTAAGGCTGACCATTTCCATTTTCCTCGCTTTGCCCTGAAATTTTATTAATCTCTAATCTTTCTCAACCCTTTTCTCCATCCTCTTTCTCGTCCACCAAGTGCTTATTTACCTTAGGAAAGTGGGGTTTCTTCTTCCTTTTTTTCCATTATAAAAGCATAAAATGTGGCATGATGAACAATGGAGAGCACACAGGTTTTGCAGTTAGACCTTGAGTTGACTCCTGGCTTCATCATATGGCTAGTTATCTAGTTAGCTGATTAAAACCAGTAATTTGGGCAAGTTACTTTCTCTTTCTGAACTTCAGTTTCCTTATCTGAAGAATAAGGATTATAATCCACCTTTATAGAATCAGTCAAAAGTCTAAATGAGATGTTTGACATAAAGTGGTTGCTCAATAACTGTTAATTCCCCTCCTGAGTTATAGCTGGTAAACAAGAGATTAGTGTGAGGTTTGTACCTTATAAAAGTTTTGAAATAAAGTTAGACATCATGGTGTTATCACCTGCCTTTTGTATAGCGTGACTTTTACATAGTTTATCTCAGTGTAATCAGCCACTGACATTTTCTCATAGTACTCAGAGACTTCTTTAGTATTTCTGTAATTCACTGTGTACTTCCTCATATTCAGACTTATTTTTCTCACATTTATGACTTTTGTTTTGTTCAGTGATATTACAGCAGTATCATTTTCTACTTTTTCTTTAATAGTATAATTTTTCAATGCGTACTGTAGCAACATTTTAGCCTAGCTAAGCATTAATGGGCCTAGTCACTATTTATAAGTTAATGATGAGAAAATGTTCCAATTTCCAAATAAATATTAGTTAATTTTTTGGATAACCTTATTATATAAATTGAAATTAATTTTTAAGCTTATTCAACTCTCAAATTATTTGATGATTTAGTGACTTAGTAGTGTGTTTCTCTTTATGCATGTCATTCATTTTATCATTATTTTTTCACTAAAATCTTTCTCCATATTCATGTGTATTCTGCAAAGAACAATCTATTTTGTCTTATTTATTATCTCCTTTTGTTCTAAGCCTTTTTCCTCTCTGATTATTTATATATAAGCAGTGATGCTAGTGTTTACTAGGAATTGTTTCTTTATGTGTCTCAATCTTATCCTTTAGTGTCCAAAAGTTTGTGAGGCATTTCTCAGGGATAAAGGATTTCTTTCCCATCTTTATCTATTCACCATGTGAGCTGTTCTAGTGACAAATGAATTCTGGGCAGTGAATTGAGAAGGACACAGATGTCAAAGCCATGAATTTATAAATGGTCTGGTAAGAGGATGCTTTTGTCCAATCAGCACTTTGTTAATTTCACCTACAAGAAGGAGTAATTATTCAATTGTGGCTCTGTCTGACAAAAATCAGATGACAAATGTGTCAGAATGTGAAGGTAAAGGGTTAGCCAGGATTCTGGCAGGTGGCCCAAAATTTTAGCCAGCTGTGAGGAGGAGGTGGGTAAAGAACCAGATCGACCTATAACATTGATAAGAAGCCTTTTATGGATATTCATAGATCTTACTAACTGAAAGATAAAAAAATAATTCTATTTCTAAGTTCCAACAAATACAGGAACCATGATTTTCTGTAACTTTGTAAAATATAGTTAGCTTGAAAAATAAACCTGAACACTAGAAAAAGTTAAATCGTATTCCTCTTTGGTCTGTGTTTTCTTATCACCAATATATTTTCAAAACTTTTAAAATTAGTTTTAGTAATATAACTTTTTCCTTCTGAAAAAGATGAAAGGCTATCCCTGTTTCTTAGCAGTATTGCTAGTGCATCAGTCATATTGCTTGATACAGAGCCAGAGTTCAGCAAACTTTCTACAAGAGGCTGGATAGGAAGTATTTGCGCTTTGTAGGCCATACAGTCTGTCCCGACTGCTCAGCTTTGCCACCATCACACAGCTCAGCCATGGATCATAGGCAGATCACTGTGTGGCAGTGTTCCAATTAAACTTCACTGACAGAATCAAGCAGTGGGCTGAGTTTGACCCTTTGGCCACAGTTTGCCAACCCCTGATACAGAAACTGGTGATACTTTAAAAATACACTGAGATTTTAAATAATATTGTAAAATAGAAGAACTCTGAACTATGTTAAGTAGCTTGAATGTACACTGCACAACTCCAGAGGCTGTTCGATTCCCGTAGATGACACTCCCAGAAGTAGTGACCTCCCTCAGCCATTTCTCCCTCATCCCTATCAGGGATGTCTGTACCTGGTGTGCTGTCTGCTTTTGTAGATAAGATTTTATTAAAACATAGGCATGCTCATTTATTTGTATATTGTCTGTGGGGCTTTCACACCATAGCAGCAGAGATGAGTAGTTTCAATAAAGATCATACAGCCTAGAGACCTTAAAGCAGTCACTGTACAGAAAATGTTTGCTGACCCCTGATCTATACCCTTAGTATGTTCCTCTTTAAGGGTGAAATTACAGGGGCATAATGTTGGAAGGCTTCTGTGATTGTCATATTAAGTCTGACAAAGTATCATAAAGAAATTGCTAACTAAAGTTGCTTCAGAATTCTGTTCAGTGTTTCTAATAGTAAGGATCTGATTCAAGACACTAAACACAAGGGAATGGGTATAGCTCAGTAGTAATGTGTGCACTTAGCATGCACACGGTCCTGGGTTCAATCCCAGTACCTCCATTAAAATAAATAAACATAAATAAATGAACCTAATTAACCCCACCCCCACCCCCACAAAAGAAACTAAATAAGCGTACTCTCCTGTAGCAGATGCTCTTGGTAGGTGAGCGTTTATAGTAGCATATTCATTACTTTGAAGAATTTGTTTCCATCAGAAATAAATACAGTCAAGAGGGTTACCATGTCTGTGGAGGAAGAGGAGAGTGGAAGTAACGCAGTTTACATGGCAGTCAGCGCTGCTCTCACATCTGCCTCACATGCCCCCTTAGAGGAGACCTGAGAAACTTCTTATCAGTGACATAGCACCAAGTATTTTTCTGGGTATCTCAAATGTCAGGTTTGGAAGAAGCAATTGCTTTGATGCCAGCAGATGTTATCATGGGCTTTATTTAGAAGATAATTTAGTGCTGCTGTCATTGAATAATAAAATTCCTAAGGTTGTGGATAGAAACAAAGTTTGGGGGAAGGAGAGGGTTATTTCTCTGCTGTTTAAGTCTGAAGGCTAGTTGTTAATAGTGAAATCATTTCTTTTGTGCATTTCTTTGGCACTTAATGTACTTGCTTTCAGTTTGTGGATACCAGCATATGCCATCTGTATTTTAATTCACAAATCCCCTAAATGTTGACATTTGAAGGACGAAGTTAATTTTGCTACTTACTGGTCAAAAAAGGAACATCAATATTATTTTTTAAATTTTGTGTTGTGAAGACTTGTTATTAGAAAAGAGTTTCTTCCTGAACACTCTCTTCCCTTATCTCCCTTAACACCCACTCTCTTGGTTTCCTTCTTATTTCTGTGGTCCCAGCTTCTCAGCTATTTCTTTTCAACCTCCTTTTCTTCTATTCATCCCTTAAATTCTGGTACTCACCATGTATTCTCTCCAGGGAACCTTATAAGCTCCCATCACATACATTTCCATTTATATGCTCATGGTCCCAAATTTATGTATTGAACTCATATTACCTCTTTTGAATGTCAGGCCTATAGAGCCAGCTGCTTGTTGGATATGTTTACCCATTTGTCTCATAAGCATTAAACTCTCATATTCCTCTTGAATCTGCTCTTATTTTATTCTCTTTTATAATGGTTAGTACCACAGTCTGCCCAGTTGCTAAGAGTAAAAATGTCATCCTTGACCTTTCCCTCTTTCTCACCTCCGGAGCCAGCCAGTCTTGTGGTCCTGTGAGTTCTAGCTCCTAAATATCCCTTGTCTGTGTCTCCTCCTTTCCATTCCCATAGCTGTCACTCTGCTTCAGAGCACCTGTATTACTACAGCTATCTCTTGTTTTGTCTCTTAGCCTTGCACTCTACCATTTCTTCTCCGCATTACACTCGGGTGTCTTTTCCAAAACCAAAGTCTGATTAAGTGGCTACCCTTTGTAAAAATTTTTCACTGGTGTATCATTATTCTTAAAGTCCAATTTTTTAATGTGGTTTGCTCAGAAGTGTTTTCTTTGGTCCCTATTTACCTTTGTAGCCTTGTATCTCACTGTTCTCTCAATTGGAGTCTACTGTGACCTTCAATGCCCACTACTCACTCTGCCTGGAACACTCTTTCCCTCCCACTCCTAACAACTTGGTTTTAAGTTCTTATCTTACATAATACCTGTTCCCCTGCTATAGCCAAATCTGAATTAGCTTTTTTTTTTTGCAAACTCTCATAATACCTTATCCCTTTCTTAGTATTTATTACATCACAAATAATTGCCAATTTATTTGTCAAAATTGTGTAAATATAAGTTTGAGTAGGGTCATGTATCCACAGTCTACAAATTAGAATAATTTGTCTGGCACACACTTGGTGCTTATAAATATTTACCATTTATATTAAATAAGATAGGTTAATGAGAACTGGTCTTCTACACAACTGTGAAATTTTATCACATGATTTTTTTACATGTCACACCTATTTAAATGATTTGTCTCTGCATGTTTCAGAGGAATATGTAAAGATCTAGTACCTCTTCAAAGTCAGCATATTGTGTAAGTTTAATGTCAATAAATATGTTCATTTCAGGATTTTTAATAATTTTGGTAGGCATCCATCATTGACATCCTTATTTTAATCTTGCCATCACAATAATGGAAATCTTTTTCTTTTATTTTAAAGATGCTATGAGAAGATAGAACTTGGTCTTTTTCTCTGATCTACACCTTTGTTAATCCCCCACTGCTAGTAATCAATTGCTAATAATCTGTATTGTTGGATTTGGTATTTATATTTAGCCTTTAAAAATTATATTTTGTTATAAAGGAAGATAATGCTAAATTGTTGAGTATTTTATTTGTTGCAGTCTACCCTGACATTTGCACTATCAGCGTTGTGGCAGTAAGTGATGTGAATAAACATGCTGATAGAATTGCTTTTTGGGATGATGTCTATGGCTTCAACATGTCCTGCATGAAGAAGGCAGTTATTCCAGAAGCTATTGTGGAAGTGTTAGATCCAAAGACTCTTATCTCAGACCCTTGTAGTATTAAGGTAGGTGTTTTACTAATTTTATTTTCTTTAACCCTATGGCTGTGTTTCTCAGTTTTCATTCATGAGTTCAGTATTTCTAATTAATATATTGATTTTATATATGGGTCTTCAAAACAGTAATTATTCTTTATATTGTACTCAATCTAAAGCAGCCTGATGTCATATTGTTTACCAGTTGACTTTGTCATCCCTTTGGTATCACTTCTCTTTATATATTGAAGTTCCTTTTACTGAAGGGGTGAATCATTTACTTTGGCTTAGTGATGCTATAAATCCTGCCGTATTGTCATTCCTGCTTCATCACCATCACCTGGCCTTATTCCAGCTACTCATTTACAGCCAGATTATTCATTCATATTAAGTGTTTCACACAGTTTAACTTCTCTCATTCAAATTCCTTCCAGCCTTTTCAGATTAATTATAGTGACTATGCCCATGAAACTAGAACCCTACTATATTCAGATTTCTCCATTAATTCCTTTTTTCTTTTAATACCTTATTCTTCACTATGTTAATCTCTAGTTTTATTGTCAATTTTGCTATGTTGAATTTACATGGGTTGAGTAATAACTTTGCAGTAAGTGAAAGTCCTATTACTTTCTTCTTAAAAGACTCCTTAATTTGTTTCAGTTAGATAATCAAATAAATATAGCTTGTTCATTGTTAGGTTCAGAACATTGTCTCTTTTTAGTCACACTGTTACTTTCATAACATCAGTAATTGTTCTCTGCACAAAGTAGACATTCAGTAAATGTTCATTAATTTTCTTAAATGGATATTTAAAATTAATATGTAAAGTTTTTCAAGAAGAACAAACTGATTAAAATTGCATTCAGCTTTTAAGAAAAAAAAATATACAGCCTAGTTAGTGACTATAGGGCTGTTCAGTGCCCTGGTATGCTGAGTGTAAGGGATTTATTTGTATTCTTTGACTCAGGGTAGGAGTATACAGTTAAAGCTACCTTGAGCAGAAAGAGGAGGATTGTGTGGGGGTGCTAATTTCTATAGTTATCTCTTTGCTTAATGCCAAAAAATGCTATGAGTAAATAAAATAGATGACATCAAAAATTTAGGACTGATAAAGATGTTTAAAAAGTATATATACCCTTACTCTTTCTTATTTGTTTTGGTAAATATAGTTTGTTCTATGTTTCTCAGTCCTCCAAATAAGAGGCAGCCACATTGTAACTTTAAAATTTTCTGAAACTAAAAAGTATATGGAAACGAATACATGCATGTTCATGTATGACTGAACCATTGTGCTGAACACCAGAAATTGATGCATTGTAAACTGACTATACTTCAATAAAAATATATATAAATTTTTTTTTCTCAAACTATTTAAAGTAGAGTAATGCCCCAGGTAGTCATATGAATTCTGTTCACTGTGTTACAACCTACTCGTGGTAGGTTAGCTATCAGTAGCCTTTAACAGCACACCTCAGGTCACACTCTATAGCCGATCCCCTCTACTCTCCATAGTGAAATGGAGAAGCATTTGAGTTAGGGGAGAACAGGAAAATGAGGATATTTGGCCATTTTTTTCCCTGTGGTGAATCTTCATAGTTGGTTTTGCTTGTTGGTCAGAATTGTTATAGTTTTTCCTAATGTTTAACAGACTTATCTTGGAATGCAGTTACAAAAATGAACTCTAAGACTCCTTTTCCTTTTAGTTAATATGTTTTCAAGTTGACATTTTCCATAAAAATACTGACACATAACATCACACATAATTTATTGCAAATGTATACCACTGGTGGTATAGAAAATGATTTTTAGTTGGAACACAGAAAACACATTTATTTAAAAAGTTTTTAGCGCATCTTAGAAAAGCTTTATTGGCACATCAGAGTCATGATTTGCTATGTACTATTCCTATAAGAAGTCTAAGTTAAAAAATACTAATTGGATTTAAAGAAAAATTAACTGAATACTAGTGGTATCAGCCCTTAAATTTGGAAATAATCTCAAAAGTGGGTGTGAATGATTGAAGTTTGCAAAGCATTGGTTTACAGTGATCTTTTTGCATAAAAAAGTAGTATTTATCTGTTTGTGTCTGGTATTGTTTTTACTATTTTTACTAAGTTCTTCCCTCCGTTCTTTTTTAATGGGTAGCATATAGATTGCCATACAACCTCTGTCTCGGATTTGGAGTTTTCTTCAGATTTTACCCTAAAAATCACAAAGACATCACTATGCACGGTAAGCTGTTTCATTCTGCTTTCACAAATCTCACCAGCAGCGTGGTTGAATGGCAGGCTAATGAATTAATTACCAGGCTTGTGATAAATGAAAAAGGCTATTGCCTTTGACAGTCTGTCTTTGCTTTTGTTAGGCTATTGAACAGATCTGTTTTAATAGGTCAAGTAGACTTCTTAAAAGTTCAGTTAGTTCAGAAGAGAAAGTATTAGGAAACCATGTTTACACCGTGATTTCTTTTTATAGCTTCTTCATCATTACCTATCATATAGTTAGTTGAGAGGACTCAACTTTATCTTCATAGGCAGTTCATGTCCTGCTCCTCCCAGTAACTCTTAATCCTCAATTTAAATGGGAGTAAGATGTTTATTTGGTATAATGTTTTATATTCCTCTGTGAAAAATCATGAAGAAACTAATGGTTTACCTTTCTTTAAAGAATCAACCTAGTATAATAGAAAAGGTATGAGCTTTAGAAAGTTGGGCAAATCTGGATTCACATTTGCTTCTGCCACTCACTAGTTCAAGTTACCTCGGTAATCTGTTCCTTAGACTAATCAGCTGCTTTAAGAAAAATGGTAGTAATTCTTTATCTTGAAGACTAAGTTACATAGATTAATGAGATAATATATGTGAAAACACCTACAATGTAGCTGTAATTTTAAGGTATTAAAATATATTCACTTTTTCTTAAATAATTTCTGAATGTTTATTAATACTAAGATAACAATAATTGCCTTTACTAAGAGACTCAGAATGTTAATAAAATGTGGGCCTTTGCTTAAGAAAGTATGACGTTACATAGATATTATTTATATTATTTTTAAAATTATTATATAGTTTTAAAAATACTAATTATATCTTCAAAATTAAAATTTTTATTGAAAATTGTATTGTCAGAAACTGTGAAACAGATTATAGTCATGTTAACTTTGACTCTTCAACCTGATTCTTTTAAATATTTTGTTCAGATTGACATACAAAAGACTATATGGTTTATTTGAAATTGTTTCAGTTCATTTTGATCCAGTAATTATTTTATATCCAAATGAGTTTAACAGTGTTCTTTGATGTTTTGAGGAGTTCTTTTTTTTCCATTGAAGTTGACTTCACAAAAGTTAAATATCTAGATCCCATTTATGATTTAAGCACCCATTATAGTCATTTAACTGGTGAAAAGCAAAATTTTATTCTTCCCATTTGTTTCTCCCAGATTGTCTAATTCTCCTTTTTAGTAACTGAAATGTTTTAGTCAATTCAAATTACAGGCTAAACTCTTTAATTCCTAGACTTACTCTGTGTTTTGATATTAGTAATCCTTGAGAGTTAAAAAATTCCTCTTGATTAATGACGATTGATCTGTAAGGGAATTCTTAGCAATTACTTGTCATATCACCAGTATTATTAAATAATATTATTTAAAGTCTATTTCAGTGACCTACATGTAAATCAAAGTACAGCAAATGTAAAACTGTGGTAAAGACCTTAAAAGCTGTTAACCACAGCAGTAGGTAAAAGAAAAATGGTTAGGAAAATAACATTTTTTGTTAAATGAAGTCTTTTGCAAAAGTGACGTGGTGTAAAGCAAACTTTTGAAAAGCTAGGGATACCTATATAGAATTACTTCTATTAATAAGAGTTTGGGATAGACTACAAGAAGCTTTATGTTAAAAGAAATTATATTTATCCCTTGATGATCTTGGGTTCATTCTGTATATTTAAAAGAATAAAATAAAAAGAAACAAAACAAGGGGAAAAAACTGATAAAGTCTGTTTAATCTAAAGATTGTAATCAGAATGTTTGTATTGCAAAATAATGTATCAGATAGGTGCTGCTGCATTTGTCCCTTTGCAGAGTTCCATGCATGTGAAGAGCCTTTTAGATTGCATTTTTATTCCCAGATTGCCTGAATGGTTTTAATATAAAAGTCTGATTTAATAGAAAAAGGTTTAATATAAAAGTCCTCTCTTTGAGAGAAAGGTAGCAGAAGATTGGAAGGGACTTGTATGTGTCTAATCAGTGGCTGAATAACATAGTTCTGTAACTCACCTTGAGAGGAATCTATAGTTTCAAACCATATTTATTGGCTGAATGCCAGATATTGAAGATATAAATTTTAGTACTTAACCATTTATATTAACTCTTCTGAGATTATTCTGTTCAATAATTAGTTAATATAAATATCTTCTGATGGTGATAATAACTAACAGTCATTGAACACTTGTATGTCAGGCAACATGCTATTCACCTTAAAAGCATTATTTCATTTAGTTCTAATAACTAATTGAAGAGCATACTAACACCCCATTTTATGGGTGAAGAAAAAAATAAATCAATATCATGTTTTATGGAATATCCTTACTCTTTCCTGACCCCAAAAAACCTTCTTGGTGGGATAGTACAAACTGGTAAAGGAACATAGAGAACCCTTAAGAATGCGTTATTCCAGGTGTGGAAGAAAGGAGGTTACATGTTGCATTTGAAACAGATTTGAAAAGTCTTACTTTTGGCCAGTAATCTAGCAGTTGTTGGGAGGCAGAGGGAAATAGAATGTGTATCATCAAAATGTGCTCTTCCTCCAGGATAGGAGTGACAGATCAATGTGATAAAATAAGTCCCACATGCCATCCTATTTGCCACAGAGACAAAGTAGATCTTTGAAAATTTATTTCTTTACCTTTTCAGGGTAAGCTTATAGTTGTTTGATGAAGCATCTACATTTCTTAGAAACTTCCTTTCCTTTCTAGTGTGCTTACTCTAACGTGAGCCTGACGTGAGTAAGATTTTGTGGCCTAATGCTTTCATAACATTTTCATTGTTTGTGAATCCCAGCTATCCACCCATATCTATTCCAGCTATCTTTTGCTCTTTGAGGTCATGCCAATTCCTTGCTCTCTTCCCCTATCTACCGTCTGGAGCTGTTACGCAAGTCTAGTCTCTAAGGCTACTTTTGAATAGATAGATTATTTGCCTGATTATTTGGGAATAATCCATTAACAAAGGTATTAAAAAGGATGAGTGCCTAATTGGAACTTTGTTTCTCCGTTACATAATCAGAAGAATTAGTGGAAATAAGGAAAATAAAAATGCCTACTAAAGAAATGGAGAAAGTTACTTTGGGGAGGAAGAGTGAAGAAAAAGGTATCTAGTTTTAAACTACTAAGTACAAAACTTCAAATACATTAAATGCTTTTTTAATACTTGAAACTTGAATGCATAGCTGAGAACAAGAGGGACAATTTCTCTGAGTAGTTAAGCCCATTTTAAATATATGCATAAACCATTTATTTCTTAATTGAGATTCTAAATTTGTGGCCTAATTAAAATATTAGAGGAAATTGGATTTTTCAAAGTAACAAGATGCTAAGAACACCCCCTTTGCATTTAATTTCAATAGCATGTGTGCTATAGACTGATAGTGGTTTTTTTCAGATGGCTTTCTCCAGTTTGTTAGTGCCTTTAATGGAAAAATACCTTTTTTTTGCAGTCTCCCCCAAAACCATACACACAGACACACAGTCCACCCCAGAAGAAATTTGGCAGCATTTTTAAGTTAATGTTTTTCATTAACAAACTTCATGTTTTAGAGAATTTAACATGATGCAATATTTATATGTAAAGTTTGAGTCTTGGATGTCTATAGTGGTTAAAGTATAATTTTCCAGTGAATACTAGTACCATATACATAGCAATTTTCTGAGCACTTTTTACTGTTTCATATATTATTGACAGTTTGGGTCATTGCCTTTGCTTTTATGACAGGGTATGAATGTTTAGTTAGCAACTGACTTTCTATCATATCAGCCTACCTAACACATCAGTAAGTGAACAATAAAGTCCTTTATTTTTGTGGAAAGTTTTTATGTGTTCAAAAGCAATTGGTATAAGGCTATACAATTTAGAATTAATATGTTTGATCTTGTGAGTTCTAGTTTATTTTTTAATATCATTGATGTAATTGTGTAATGCTCTCTTACTCTGTGTTCCAGCATTATTTATATTGGCGTCTGTCTGTATAAGCTCCTTAATGATACAGACAAGGATCCTTTTTCGTAATCCTAGGTATACATTAAATGGCTTCTCATACTACCTTTTATATAACAATGAGTTGTCTACCTTAAGAATGAAAGTGTTTAAGACTTTTTTCAGATTACATGCTCACATACATAAATAATATCTGTGACGTGTAAAGTTTGTTTTGATACATCACCTCTTAAAGCAGTCATTTTTATATCTTAATTTCAGCATTATACATATATTTTTTATTCTACCTCTCTGTTATCATGCACTGGAATAATGAGTGGTACAGCAATGTTTAGTTTGCATAAACTTCCATTAATATGTTTTTATTGTGTTTAACAAAGAATGTTATTTTTCCTAACCATTTTTCTTTCACTATTGTTAAGGATGAACCAATGGATGAAATAAAAAACATCAGACTTTTTACATATTTGTATTTAAAGACCTCTTACAATTAAGTCTTTTATTTTGGATTTCATCAAAGAGCATAAATACGAATTTAGTAGGATTTGAGAGCTATTTAATCTCCTCATAACTTTAAAAATCTTTATAGTAATATAGAAATTTATATTAACAGATAGTTTGTTAAACAAATATTACATGCTGACTGTGTGCCACTAGGTACTTGTCTAAAATCTGTGGGCACAAAACAAAACAGGTAAAACCTATCCTCTGTCCTGAAAAGGCATTTAAGTGAGAGGAGGCAGGTACTGATAACATTGTAGTATGAATATGAAGAAGAAATATAGAAATATAAACAGTGGTCTGGGATTTGGAGCACAGAAGTGAGGTATTTTCTGGTCAAAAAATTATAGTTGGTAATCAAATTTTACAGCCAAGTTTCTATGAGAAAGAAAAAAAAGATTGAAGGGAAATCTAACACATGGTATAGCCATTTCATAAATTCATTTTTGGATAATTTCTGTTCATCTGTTTTTTAACTCACTGATCTCTTCTGTATTTTTTCTGCTGTTAAGATCACC